CCTGGATTCCCTGTATTTTCAGTTCCTATCTGTACCAGTGTACCTCCTCTGGTCTAGCCAGCCTTGCAAGGTCGAATTCAAGTCATGGTTTATCTTATACAACAGTTACAAGACAAACTTTTGTAGGCAAGTACTGAAAGTAATTGTATGCATCTTTTAAATTCTGTCAAGATATAAAATTCATAATCGTGTGACACTTGCTGTGTGTTCATAGAGCAGCTGAGGCAAGTGGAAGACAGGGTGCAGTAAAGGAGCTGAGCAGCACTGTCCAAGGGCAGCTTGAGAAGGCAGAGTAAGACGTCATAGAGAGCTATGCCACGCGCTCGGCTTGGAGAACCAAGCAGGAAGAACATGTTCATCGTATCTTAAACCAAAAAAGAACACCAAGCCTTGAGTTGCAATATTGAAAGATTTTATTGGCAAAATATTGAATGATGCAGGAAACATCAAACGAAGATGGCAAGAACACACGGAGCCACTGTCCCAGAAAGAACTGGCCGACATGTCACCATTTCAAGAGGTAACATACGAGAAGGAACCAATGGTCCTGAAAGAATTCCAAGCTGCATTGAAAACATTAGCCAAAAACAAGGCTCCAGAAATTGGTGGAATGCCAATTGAAACGTGTGGGCGAGCTGATGAAGTTCTGAAAGCACTTCACTAACTGACGGAGAGAGATTAATCTTTGTACTCATTCCAAAGAAAAGTGACACACAATATGCAAATTATAGAACACTAGCATTGATATCACATGCAAGTAAAATCATCCAGCCGGGGTTGCAGCAGTCTATTGACAAGGAGCCGCCAGAGGTTCGGGCCGGATTCAGAAGAGGATGTGGAACAAGCAGTGTCAAAGCTGACATCAGATAGATCTTGGTTGAAAGCGGAGTACCCAAAGGATGTGTACTTGGGTTTCATTGCCTGTGCTAAGACATTCAACTGTGTGGGTCATAGCAGTCTGTGGATATAGCCTTGGGAAGAATGGGGACTTCATAACACTTCATTAAGCTCATGTAGAACCTGTACTTGGATCAAAGGGCAGAACTAATTGTCATAACATGGGATATCAACTAAGGAAAAAGCAAGTTACTGAATAAATTCTGTGTTCTAACCTGCGTGTGTGTGTGTGTGTGTGTGTGTGTGTGTGTGTGTAAAGTATTTAACCCCACTTCCATCTCTATACATATAAATGCAGGAGAACCATTTGGAAAGATAAGCCTCCAACTGGTTTGGGCGTGAGTACATAGAACTGGGGATGAGGCTGTTGGGGGGCTTGAGCCTTTTCTTTTACATGAATATTCACGAAGAGCTTACATACCTTTCCTGAATCACATGTTAAACTCTAAGTGTATGAACAAAAACTGAGCAGTGACAGCCAGACATCCCCGCTTCCCTGCTTGACTGACAGGTTGGAGTGCCAGTCCTAGAGTCAGGTTGGCCAAAAACGGAACACAATTCGGGGCAAACCAGTGAAGAATTGGAAGTGAGACTGGATTGTGTAATTGAAGCTTCCAGGTGAAGCAGGACTGTCTTATGTAAGTGCTGCAATCTTGACATGCTGAAGAAAACAACAGGTCCTGCAAAGAGATGCCATCCCCGGCTGAGAAATGCTCCGTACTCCAGGTACCGGGACGTTGACATCCTTGTGTAATGCAGAAGATGTTATCTGGCAGCTTTTTTAACTGAAGCTTCCCCCTTTCTCTGGTGTGTGTGGGAGGGTGTTCTCCCAGCCTCTCGTGCACTTCCTGTTCGCCAGCTTCACACGGAACAAAGGCAGCACCTTTCTGACGTCTGACTCCCTCCTGGGACACCAGGTACTCTGCAGCACTGTTTTGTAGTTCAGTAAAAACACACAGTTGAAGCCATCCCAGATCTCTGATTTCAGTAACAGAAGAGTGTAATCTTACCCCTACTGCCGGTCCACTTGCACTTTACCTAAAGGCAGTGGTTCTCATCCTTCCTCCTGCCACGGGACCCTTTCATTGCTACTTCATCACTGTCATTTTGCTACTGTTATGAATCAGGCGACCCCTGTGAAAGGGTCATTCGACCCCCACAGTGGTTGCGACCCACAGGTTGAGAACCGCTGCCTTAAGGTAATACTGTGCATGCGAAAAACAAGATTTGTGGGTTCATGAGATGATGACTGATTTTTCTGAAAAGGTGTGCAGGACCTTGTGAGGCCGAAGGGCAAAAATTTCTGGTCACGTTACCCTAGGTTGAGGAACCTTGTCAGCTTTGCTTGGCTAGTGTTGTAATAGAAGCGGCACTGCATATAAATATTAGTAAGAAATGCAAGTGTATGTTAAAGCCTTTTTCAGCAGAAACACACAAAACGAGGTCCTGTGCCCGTTGCTTAGTGACAGTGTTGTGGCCCGAGGCCCAGAGGAACCTAACCCCCTTTCTCTTCCGGGGTGGGCCGTGTGCACGAGACTCCCCAGGGCAACGAGAATGGAGCGGAGCGGACGGACCGCCCCTGTCCGGGAAGGTGGACCCGTGCGGAGCTCATCTTAGATGTGTTGCAGGTCCAGCTCGTTGGTCTAGACGAGGAGAGCTCCGAGTTTATTTGCCGGAATACCTTTGACCACCCCTACCCCACCACAAAGCTGATGTGGATCCCTGACACCAAAGGCGTCTACCCCGACCTGCTGGCGACCAGCGGCGACTATCTCCGGGTGTGGCGGGTAAGCAATGGGCCCTGTTACTGTCACCTATTGTCAGCAGCCTGCTATCCTAGCAGCCTGAGAGGGCTAGTGGCCATGTGTCTGCGCTGACCTTGTGTGCCTCCATAGACTGTCTGGCCAGGCTTGCCTGGGTTCCCGGAAGCCATGCTGCTGGCTATAGAGTCAGCTGCCCCAGAAGCCGGGGCCCCAAAGGAAAGATGGCAGCCTGCTCTGGGCGTGGGGAGTCTGAGGCCTCATCTGCTTTACACCCCAGATGTTTTTGAGTGAATAAAAAGAAATCCCAGGCCACTGATTCTAGTAACGTTAGTGGAGTGGGAATCTCATGGTCAGCGGTCCCTCCTACCACGTGGAAGCCCTGGAGCCCAGAGGTGAGGCCTCCCTGCTAGAAAGATTTGGGGATGGGACTGAGAAAGCAAAGCTGGATAGAGAGCGGAGGTTTGGAAGGAAAGCAGCATCAGGGCCTGCCTCTCGGCCTTCTCCCTTAGTCCCACCCCCACGTGGCAGGTTCTGAAGAGACTGTCGGCACCGCGCTGTAAAAGCCGCCTGAGCGGCTCTGCCCAGCTGACGGGTCGCACTGTCGTTTCTTCAGGTTGGTGAAACTGAGACCAGGCTGGAGTGTTTGCTAAACAACAACAAGAACTCAGACTTCTGTGCCCCTCTGACCTCCTTCGACTGGAACGAGGTGGACCCCTACCTTTTAGGTGAGGAAGTCAGGGAGGTGTGTTCCTGTTGGGAGGAGGAGGAGAGATAATGTTGGTGGTGGGTTTTTGTACCCGGTGGTGTGTCCGTCTGGGTAGACTAGAGAAACAAATTCATACACATGCATATGTGTATGGGAAAGAGCTATATTTACAAGAGCAATTGAATATTGAGAAAACAGCCCAGTCCAGATCAAGTTCATCAGTCCGATAGCCCATATGTCTAATAATAATCTATAAAGTCCTCTTCAGACTCACAAAACACATGCAATGACACCAAGTGCAGGAAGATCACAGACCAGTGGGTGCAGTCTTTTAGTGGTGGTAGAAGCATCTCAGCACTGGCAGGGGTCACTAAGTGGCTCCTCCAGTTCCCAGGGTACAGGGTTGATCAGCATCTTGCCATGTGTCATGACACTAGAGCTTCACAGGGAGTGAGCAGAGAGTCTCTCCCGCCTCCAAGGAGGAAATCCCAGAATTCCAAGAATCCTCACACAGAGGCCTTATTGGCTATAACCCAATTGACAGACTAGACTCCACCCCTTCACTGTTAATCCTCAAATTGGCAAACGATTATTTAACAACCACAGGTGGCCTGACTCAGGAGAATCATAGCCTAGGGAAACTGCAGGCTAAATATGCTGTGGGTGGCAGTCATTTTTCTGGCGCCGAGCTTTTTGTGTGTGAACGGCTTGTCTCTCCAGTCAGAAGGTCTCAGGCAGGGGGGTTGGCAAGGAGCCTCCCTGCACTGTGTGTGGGCATGTCCCCGGGGCTGGCAGACGAGGGAGCACAAGCCTGGGGCTGGTGGGGAGCCTGCGTGGGAACCAGTCACTGACTTGCACCGGTTGCTTTCAGGTACCTCAAGCATTGATACAACTTGTACCATCTGGGGGCTGGAGACCGGGCAAGTGCTGGGGCGAGTGAACCTTGTGTCTGGCCACGTGAAGACGCAGCTGATCGCTCACGACAAAGAGGTAATGGTGCTGCCGGGCCCTCTTCCTCCGGGTGTTTTCTGTGCCTTCAGCAGGCTGTTTGCACACAGCTTTGCACATGACTTCGAAAGTCTTGATACAATGGCTGATTCCTTCTGGAAAATCATGTGTGCGAGCAGTAGTGACCCACCACTGCAAACGAAGGCACTGCTTTGCTGGCACGAAGAATGAGTGTGGGGTCTGCGGTTGCTCTTCTCCCACCAGAGGCTGCTGTCTTTTTATTAATGACCCCGCTCATGGGCAAACTGGCAGCTGCTGGGACTTAACAAACAAACGCTCCAAACCTTACAGTAACTATTGTCTTGGAACACACTCGGGTGTCTCTGTGGGGCAGCTGGGAGAGGGCCTTGGAGATGGAAGCAAAAAGAGGGAGAATTTTCTGACAGACAAACCCAAATTGTCGGTCTTTCTCTAAAAACATTTTATGCATCGGTTCTCAACCTGGGGGTCGCGACCCCTTTGGGGGTCAGATGACCCTTTCACGGGGTTGCCCAATTCGTAACAGTAGCAAAATAACAGTGATGAAGTAGCAGCGAAAATAATGTTGTGGTCGGAGGAACTGTCAGAACCCAGCAAACATCAGCTCCTCCCTCTATTCAGACTGAGGGGACTTCATCGGGGCAGTCCCACAGATGATGAGCAAGCGGAGAGGCCACACAGGGCCCCATGAGGTACCCCAGTGACCAAGAGCAGCCAAAGCTGCTGCTGCCGCCCACAGAGCAGAGGGAGCCAAACCCCAGGAGCAGGGAGGAGACACGGCCACCACCAGAGATGCTTGCAGATACAGGAGGACACACAGAGCTCCACTTCTCTTCCCCGCTACCACCCAGTATTCCTTGAGTCCCTCTCGTTGACCGAACCCAACCAGAAGTAGCCTGCAGACCTGGGACCCCGCCCACCACAGCTTGGGGGCTCGGCTCTCAACGCAGGAAGGGCAATGGGAAGTGCCAGTCAGCAGGCCTCAGAGCAGCCAGCCCAGGTTGCTCTGTGAGACCCATGCGTCTGCTCAGCCTGCCTCGTGGACAGAATTAAGACTGGAGGGGGGGTCTCTTGGATGCCTCGATAGCTGATTGTCACTGTGATGGGTTTAGTTTACTTGGGCATTGTCACCCTTCTGCCGTCTACAGTGGAGCACCCTGGTGGCACAGAGGCGAAGGGGCTATCCCTGAAAGCAGTGAGGGAACTGAGAGGGAGGGGCCTGTGGGCTCCACATTTGCATGAGTATTGGTCTGCCACCTCTGTCAGTCTGTTCCCACCTGTCCACTGTGTGGCCAGCCAGCCGGCCGGGGGTGTGAGTGCTGGCACGCATGCCTCAGCCCCAGAGCTGGCCAGGGCTGGCCAGAGATGGACTCTTCAGGCCCTTTTGAATTCCTCCCAATTCTTGCCAGAGAAAGCAGTGTGGTTCCTCCACCGCCAGACAGGGAGGACAAGGAGCTTGTCAGGCTGACCAGAAATGGCTGCTCCTTCGCTGTGTTCCTGAGGGGCTAGACCCTCACAAAGGCTGGAACTGTGGCCTTTCACTCCACTAGGATCGCTCCCGAACTCAGCTTGCATCTTACCCTGGCTTCACAGTTGTTTTCCTTTCCCGCTGACTCCCGGGTGGCTGGACTGGCTCTCTCAGCCCTTCTCCCCTGGCGTCCACCGTTCCACACTGCCTCCGGTGCTCATGCCTGCCATCTCAGAGTTAGGGTGTGCAGTGAGTGCAGCAGATAATAAGTACATTCAGAAAGCAGTCATTTGAAACCTAGCTTGTCTTCACTTGAATATTTAAAAACTTGCAGGAGAAACAGTGTGTCTAAGGTCTTCTTTGCTGCACAGGAGTCTCGTGTTCAGGTGGGCCAGTAGGACCAACCTGGAGGCTGGTAAGTGGCTGCCAGAGCTCTAAAACAGGAGCGGGGTTTCTATCACTCCCACTGATGTCAGCCTCTGAGTGGTCACCATAAGTGAAAGCCACAGAAGTCCAGGCGAGAGCGTCTCAGCCCTAGAGTGCAGCAGACAGCCTGGTGGCACTGGCCTCCCCAGCCCAAGCAAACAGGACACACCTGCTCGGAATTACGTGCACTCTCTGGGTGGGTGGGCACGAGCCTGGGTCTCATCACAGAGGCTGAGCGGGGAAAACTGGAAAAGTGGGAAGAAGGCTGCCTGTTTCTACAGCAAGCTGCTCTGCTTTCTGGAAGGCCAGCTGATGTCAGGGCTCTCAGGCTGCAGGGCCTGCAGCTGCTGGCTGGGTTTCCTTTCCCACGAGCTGGAACTTACATGGCCTAAAATGGCAGACAGTTGTCCCACTCCAGGGACAGGAGGTGATGACTGATGGGAGCTTCCTTATTCAACAACAGGTCTACGATATCGCATTTAGCCGGGCCGGAGGCGGCAGGGACATGTTTGCCTCAGTGGGCGCTGATGGCTCCGTAAGGATGTTTGACCTCCGCCACCTGGAGCACAGCACCATCATCTATGAAGACCCACAGCATCACCCGCTGCTCCGTCTCTGCTGGAACAAGCAGGACCCCAACTACCTGGCCACCATGGCCATGGATGGGATGGAGGTGAGCCGCCCTTTCAGGTGGACGCAGGCCTGCTAGTAAATCTGGCTAGTGGTCTTCACCTGGGGACGGTTTTGCCTCTCGGACCCGTCTGTCCATGTGTAGAGACATTGTCGGCTGTCACAACTGCAGGAAGGCTGCTGGCATCTAGTGGGTAGACCCCAGGGACGCTGGTAACACCCGCTCTGTGGGGGCCAGCCCTCCCAAAGAATGAGCCCATCCCACCAGATGGAGAACGGGGGGCTTCGGAAGGTGTGTGGGAAAGTGCTATTAGCTTACCATTCCATTTTCCAGGCATTCTTTGAAGCTCCCTCGTGTGTAAAGAACTTAGTACAGAGAATTGCACTCTGAGCGAAGAGCACTACGTAAAGAGTGACTCAGATCCTAGTTGCGTGAGACTCTGAGTTGAGAATGGGCCATTTCCTCTTCTGCGGTCTGGGCAGATTGTGCCAGCTACAGGAGCTGCCACTCTCTGCTGCCCTCACCGGGGAAGCAGTGACGGGTGGGTGGAGATGGAGATGATTCCATCCTGAGCTTTGTGTCGGTGAAGCTCCCACTTCAGGCTTCTGCGTGCACAAAAGCCTGCCCAGGTACCCTGAGCAGAACTTAGTCACAGCATGCATGGATTGTCCACCTCGAGTTCCCCACACGTGTCCCTAACAGGACTCGGGGAGTAACACTGAGTGAGTCACTCCGCCTCCTGACCCACCCCTGCCTCTCCCCCACAGTCGGAGGGCCCTGCGTGGCCATGTAGGCAGTTGCCTGGCTCTTGTTTCTTCTTCTTTGTCCTCAACCTTGTAGCTACGTTTGGGACTGAGAACCCACGGTCTTTAAATCCTCCAGTGACAAAGTTACACTATGAGAGACATTGACCTTCATCGCATTGGGTGTTGTGTTGTGTTTTGATCTATTTTTTGTTTTTCCCTAAAGTTCCCTGGTCTTCTCCCTGTGATTTCTGCAGGTGGTAATCCTGGATGTCCGAGTTCCCTGCACCCCGGTCGCCAGGTTAAACAACCACCGAGCATGTGTTAATGGCATCGCATGGGCCCCACATTCATCCTGCCACATCTGTACTGCAGGTAGCCGTGCCAGGGGGAGGGGAGCATGGAGGGGCTTCGGGTTCTTAAGTCAGGATTTATTATTTTGATTGTACGTATACATGGCCCTGTTACAGTTCATTTAGAAACTAACCTGTAGTCTGGTCATCCTAATGTCACCTCAGGTCCATTCTGAAGTGTGTGTACAAATAAATAGGTAGGGAGGTAGGTGAGTGGGTAGGTAGATAGGTACACAGATACATAGCCAAACCACTGCCATGGGAGTCGATGCGGACTCAGCAAGCGTGCAGGGCAGGGTAGAACTGCTGCCATGAGCTTTGGAGACTGGACCTCTTCACGGGAGTAGAAGGCCCCTTCTTTCTCCCGTATATCCAGGTGACCAAGATAAAGTGCTGTGAAAATGTGCGATTGAAAAAAATTAATCTTTTTCCCTCAAGACAAAATCTGGTGAGAACCAGAAGGACGCTCATTATCTTTAAAATCTATATAAAGGGAGAGGCATTTATATATGTGTGTGTATATACATATAAAAGATGGTTAGCGTCCTTCTGGTGTTTCCCACAACCTTTGTCTTGGGGGAGAAGTATCTTTTAATAGCACATTTCCACAGCACTTTATCTTGGTCTCTCTGAAAGAGAGAGAGAGCACGCTCTCACTGCTTAAGGATTTGCAGTGGCTACAAGGACATTCTTCCAGAATTGTTGTATCCCACTGCCCTTTTCGAATGCCTGGCCCAGCGTCAGGTTGCCCACTGCCTTCCACTCTCAGGGGCAGCCCTGGTGCAGGGACTCCAGACACAGCCGAGGCCTGCATTGGCGTCCTGGCTCTGCCTCACTGGTTGCACGGTTGCGTGGTTTGGGACAAAAGCCTCAACATTTCTGAGCTTCCGTTTCCTTATCTTCACATCGCCCTTCCTCACAGGGCTTTGGGTGAGCCTGTGCTTTGTCGACTCTGCCTCACTCCCAGATACAGGGCTCCTTATCCTCAGTGCCTGACTTGTGACCTTGCTCTGTCCCTAGCGGATGACCATCAGGCTCTCATCTGGGACATCCAGCAAATGCCCCGGGCCATCGAGGACCCCATCCTGGCCTACACAGCCGAGGGCGAGATCAACAACGTGCAGTGGGCGTCCACGCAGCCCGACTGGATCGCCATCTGCTACAACAACTGCCTGGAGATCCTCAGGGTGTAGGCCTCCCGCCGCCGCCACCGTTGCCCCACCCCCACAGTAAGAAGACACCCGTTCCCAGTGGCCAGTATGTCTTTCGTTGCTTTGCACCCACTGTTACCAGAAGCTGCTCTAGGAGTTCCTGGCCAGTCACCCCGTCGCGCTGGGCTGGCCTCGGTGCTCCGTTGCGCTGCCTCAGCCCAGGGCTGAGCGTGAAGATGCCCTCTCCTTTGCTCTTCGCCTTTGGCTCCTCAATGAAAAGGGTCTGTGTCCCACATTTCTTCAGAAGTAAAGATGAGAGCCTTCGATAGTGCAACCGTGCCCTCCCAGCGGGAGGGACCTTCCTAAGTGTGGCTCTGCCAGATTAAAAAAAAAAAAATGTTGCGATTAAAAAAAAAAAGAGGTAGCATAGCACATTTACGAAAAATACCTGGGGACTGGTGGGGGAGGGAGCAGTTAGCGAACAAAGTTAGAAGGTACATATGATTTATGAAAACTACAGTAGCTGTTTGTTAGCTGTTGTTGGCTCCAGCGTCCTGGGCCCTGCTGAGTTTGTCTTCACCTGCCCAGTGTCTGTCTGTCTCTGTCTGCTGTCCCAGCAGCAGTCTGTGTCCTGTCGTGTCTGAGTCAGCACTTACATGGGCGCACACACCAAGTAATGGTCTTTTCCTCCCCGTCGGTGTCTTCAACAAATTTCCACTTTGTATATTTTTTATCTACCAGGCTAATTTTTCTATGAGAAGAATTTTTCTCTCCCTGGTTTCTTCCTTTGTCTCTTATCTACTGGCACCCTCCTCTCTTCCCTCAGTGCCCGGAGCTGGCACTGGGCCCTGGCCCCTGGCCCATGAGCACTTGGCCCTCTTGAAACACTGCCTGAGTGGTTTATATCTGACAGGGCACCTCAAACCACCTTGGTGCTCTGCAGTCTGCCAACTTGTCATGCCTATTCTCCTCCTGGCTCTCTCCTCCAGGGCGTTCTGGGCTCCGCAGCACTCTAGGAAGCCTTGGGGTACTCCTGACGGAGCTCTGTGCAGCACCCAGGAGCGGCTTAGAGCCGAGCAAAGCCTGAGAGAGACTGGCCGCCTGGAGTGCGTCTTTGCAGGGAAGAGCTTCCGAAAAGCTGAGCTTGGAGCCATGTTCAGCACCGAGTTCCAGAGTCCCGTTGCCCCTGCAGGCCTTCCCCATTCCCTGCCCTGAGTGCTTGACAAGGATGGCCTGTGACCTGAAGTGAGACATGACTTTTCTGTTTAGCTTACTGTGACTTAGCTTATGGAATACTGGCCACTCTTTGGACCGAATGCCCTGAGGTGGGAGTCCTACTTACGAGGTACACGGCCAATCCTTTGAACTCTGAGCAGGATCCCTCTCAGAATGTGGGACTCGGTGTTTGTGAGGAATGGGCCCATCTACCATGAGAGCCCCCGACTGCCAAGTGAGTAGGTAGCCAGAGAAGAATCATGGACCCCGGACTCGCCATGAAGAGCCCTGCCGCCTCTCCCCCGCCCAGCCCTTCGGGTCTGAGCAGTATTGGCCTTCTAGCCGCAGGTGTCTCTTTCCGTTACGTGACTGCGTTGCTTGGAGGCAGTTAGGGCGCGACTCTCCTGTGGGCCAGTCGTTGGGGCAGTGGGTGTGCTTGGCGGGGGCAGGACGACGGGCCGGTAGGTTGCTTGGCTTTACCAAGTACTCGGAGGCGCCTGAGACCCTCTGAGAACAAGAGAAGCAGGTGCTCAGGCTCGGCTCTTGGCAGCTCGTGAGGAACAGAGCCTTCTGGGCTTTTAAACTCTGTGGGTTGGCTCTTCCTCTTCAGAAGCAGCACCCTGCACCCCCCAGAGCCAGAGGGTTTCACACGTGGGCGCTTTGGTTAGTCAGGGGCTTCCTCTTCACCTTATTACTTTCTTGATGTGGTGCTGCGACTCTTTCTCACTGAGGGCCCAGTTCAAGGTCAGCTCTCCTGCTTTTCCCACTGCAGGAATGCCGAGGGCAGGTCGCCAGGAGATAAAACGTGAGTGGTTTTGGGTCAGCACCTGCTCTTAGTTGCTCTTGATTGTGCTCACCGGTTCCTCTCAAGGGCGGCAAGTTGCAAGATGGCTGCTTGATCTGGGAGGCTGTCAGTTCCTGCCTGTGCAAAACTGGAGGGCTAGTCTGCCAGCACCCCAAGTCTAGAGTTAAACTTCCTTTCCTGGTCCCCACTTAACCCTGGCCTTGAAGGGCGAGGATTTTGTCAGCTGGAACCCCAAAACCACAGGACAAGGGAGGCGCGGTGGTCCACGATAGTAAGAGAGGGAGGGTGTTTGGGCATGGAGGCTGACCAGTGTTGGTGGGTCTTTGCTCTGCAGCCTCCCCTCACTTTGTGGTCCTTCTGCCGTCCCGCCCAGGGGCAGGTTCCAGCACCCCGAGCCAACAGACAAACACAGACACTCCCATTGGCCAGTGCTTCGAAGTCCGAGGCCCCCTTGCTTCTCGCTCCAGCTCAGGCAGGGCAGGATCCTTGTGTTTTCAAGATTTAGAAAGGCTCTGAGCCCACCACACTCTGTGAGGCAGGTCTGTTGTCATGTAAAAAGAAAATCTTTTGATTTCTCAAGTTGGCAGCCAGAGAAAATGAGTAGAAGGTTCTGGGTCCTCTTGTGTGAGAAGGCCCCACGGTGGACTCTTGGCTCTGGCTCAGCTGGTAGTAGTCCAAAGCTGTCTTGCCACGTGCCCCGGTCTGGTCTGAGGAGGCTAGGCCTCAGGCTCAGAGAACTAGGGATGAGAGGAGTCTTGTACCTGCCGGAGCATTTGCCCTGGGGGACATTTGAAGCCCTTCCAGGGAGGCACTGCCCTCCAAGTAGGGCTGTGAGAGGCCAGATACTTGATGCCTGGTGGAGAACTGATCTTCAGAAACCTGGGTTGGCTCTCAGAAGGCTAGTGGTGGGAGGAGAAAATGAGAACTATGCCGGCAGTAAAGATGTGAAGTGGGGAAGCCAACTCTCCACTGGCTTTGGAGTGAGGCTGGGTCACCTTGGACCATTCCTGGACATCTGCTCGGAGGGCTTGAGCCAGAGAGCCCTCCCTGCGGCAGTGGGTAGTCCTCGGTAAAACACCTGCGGGCGGTCAGCGTCATGTGACCGTCCCAGGCCAGGGCTGTCCCTGGTTGCAGGTGCATCCTGAGCAGGAGCCTTAGCGGTTACAAGTGGCCCTGCTGACTTTTCTCCTCCCCCGCTCTCTCCTCTTCCTGTCCCTTCTCCCTCTCCCTCTCCTGAGGACCCTTTCCCCAGACCCTCAACTGTAGACAGAGGAGAGGAGCTGCAGGGTGCACCAGAATGGAAGTGCCAGCTCAGTGCCACCCCTCCACCTTCCTCACCCCAAGGACGTGGATGCTTGGCATAGGGAGTCATTGGCATGGCTATCCGCACGCAGTCTCTTCCCTCTGGCTGCACTCCGGCTAAGGAAGGAGGCCACGTTTGGCACTTAAATTGAGTTTTGCCCTGAGAGGAAAAGTCCCTGTGAAGCCTGGGCCAGGCTCTCAAAGAGTCGTCCTTTCTCTCCGCTGGGCCAGCAACCGGGAGGGGTTTATGGCGCCGAGCCTTGCCCACCTCCCCCCTGCACCCTGTCCTTCTCCCACAGTGGTCATCGCTGCTAATGGTCAAAGTCCAATGGGTAGCCCCCTGGGATGGGCCAGGTTCTCTCAGGCTACCCTCTAGATGTTATTTTTAAAATAAAGAGGCTTGGACTGGTGTCTCAGACCAGAAATGAGTTAGCTAAAGAAAGTTTGAACTCAAGAAGAAAGATGCTGGCAGTCTGTATAACAGCTGGGAACACAGCCTCCTTGTGATCACCCGGTGAACATGAACTCGGGGCCATCTACCATGTAAAAGCTCGGGTTGCTCACAGGAGACTGTGCTGGGCGGAAGCTCCGCGGTGCTTTCCTCACGTGCGGCCCTTTGCTTTGGGTCCTGTGTATTTCCTGGCCCGCCCTGGCAATGCCTCTCCGCCCCCTCCCGAGTGTGGATTTGTAGCATGGCTGTGTGACCCCAAGGGCAGAAGATGGATGTTTCTTGTTCTCTGCAATGTTACGCTCTTGCCAAGCCGTTTCTGTCCCCTTTAGCCTGGTGTCTGCACTTCTGTCCTTGGTAGATGTTTCAGGGGCCGTGCTCTGCTGTCGGTTTCAGGATGTCCCGCCGTCAGGACTGCGCTGGAACCGAACCGTTTTCCTGCTTTAAACATGATTTCCCCAGGACTGCTTGTCCACAGACAGGGCTTGTGGTAGCATGCTGATACTGTGCTGGGAAGCCACGGTGGGGAGTCACCATCGCAGGTGACTTCAAAGGCACCTGGCAGTGGCCTGTTAGAGCTGCGACTTGATTTCCTGCTTCCTCAGTGCATTGAACCTAACTGTCACCCTTTCGTTCTGTTTCAGCCTCCTGTATAAGAAGTCCCGTATTTTCTGCCCATCATACTTTGTAATAAAACTTGAACATGTATAGATTGACTGTATTTCTTCTTGTGATGAATAATTTAGTTACCCCTGTTCTGCCACTGTTGTTACGGTGCAGGGACAGAGCTCCTCGCCTGTCACTGACGGGGGTGGGGTGGAGGTGCGGTGCTCCCCCAGTTCTTCACACTCATCTGACAGTCGACACGTTGCTCTTTAGCCCCTGTGTGAGCTCTCTCCGGTTCACCAAGCCCTGAGCGCTGCCTCCATACAAGAGGCACGCCTGCTCATCGCTCAGAGGAGATCTCCACGTAATCAAATGCTGCAGTGTCTCTAGTAGCCAGGGTTCGCTCAGGTAGCAAGTGTCCCCAACAAGGAGGTGATCACCTCTGCCTGGGTAGCAGCCCAAAAGGGTCAGGGAAGGTGTCACAAGATGAAGGCTGCTTGAGGTGGGATGTGAAGGCCGAGTAGAAGTTCTCTGAAACGGGGAGGAGGGATCATCCCTGTACAGACCCATGGAAGCAAAGCAGCGTTGCCTAGTCTGAGAATCGCAACAGTTTGATGGGGCAGTTTGTGAAGGGAATGGTTGGAAGTATGGCTGGGGACGTGAGCAGGAGCCAGATCGGCATGGGCCTGAGACTGCATTTCCTGAGAGAGGGATGACATGCTCGGAACTAAAGAGGTCAGCACCAGGATGAAGACTGCTCCATTGACCTGCTGTGATCCGCAAAGACCGGAGCAGCAGGGACGGAGAAGACGGGCCAAACAGAAGACGTGGAAGAGAAGACTCAGGATTGGAGAGCCTTTCGGCTGTGGAGGATAACAAAGAAATGATAACTCCCCAGATCTTTGAGTTTGAGCATCAGGCTCTCATAGTTTACTAGAAGTTTCCCACACCAACACCCCAAATGGGATGGGGGAAAGGACTCCCTGACCCCACTGCTGTTCAAATGCTATGGGTACTCGAGGCAACCCTGCCCCATTTATGTGTATTTGTCTGCATTGCTCAGAGTGAGAAGGAAGCAAATTGGTTGGTTCAGTTAGCCACGATTGAGTAAGTTAGCCTGTCATTTAGCTGGGAGAAAGATTTCTACTCCCATAAAGAGTTAACATCTCAAGACATGCACAGGGGCAGTTCTACCTTGACCTATAGGGTCCCTGGGAGTCGCCACCGACCAGGACAGTGAGTTGGGCTTGCCATTTATCCAGCCATGCAGCCTAGTGGCCAAAGGTCTGTGATGAGAAGTAGGTCCTTCAGGTTGCAAGATGAGCACTGACAGTCTCTTGGAGCAGTGCTGTGTGGTCTGACTTCTTTCTGTGGGAGATCGTGAACCCCGCTCTTTGGTATTTAAAGGAAAAGCCGAGACACTGACCATCATCTGGAAGGCCGCAGTCAGTAACAAAGCAGCCCCCGAGCTGAGACTCAACATGAGAGAAGTGTGGGGTTGGCTACAAGAAAAATGACCTTTGGAAAGCAACCGACCCTCTTGTAACTCTCATTCCGAACACATGACCTAAAGGGCTCAAGCAGAAAGCAACTGTTTTGAGAACGATGATGGCAACAAATGTGCAAATGTGCTTGACATGATGGATGGATGTATAGATTGTGATAAGAGCTGTATGAGCCCCCAATAAAATGATTTAAAAAAATTTTAAAACGCACGACTTCTAAGGTGACTTCAGACGTGGGGAAGAGATTTTTAAGAACAGAACCCAATGAGGACCTAATGCCGTGGGTTTAAGTGGAGAGAAAATGTTTTGAGAATGATGTACAAATGCGCGTTACACAATTGATGTGTGTATGGAGTTGTATGAGCCTCTAATAAAGTGATTAAAAAAAAAAACAGACCCCAAAGTAGCTTAATCACATTTGCTCTGTCTGCCAAATCTAGTCACATGACTACAGCCTAAACGGCAGGGAAGTCAAGAAATGGGGCCTTTGGGTTGCAACTGGGGCCACAAACCATGTGTGTGTGAACTGCTAAATAGGAGACTAATTTGTCTACTTTCACCAATAACCACAATAATATATATAAATAAAATTTTAATGTTGGCTTCCTTTGTGCCCAGGGAAAGGAAATAAAATGATTAAATAACCATTTTTTTGCCTGTCCACAAAGTATCTAGGGTAATAATGAGTGTCATCTCATTCACTGAGAGCTGTTCACACGGGACAGCATCTACGTAAGCCTAACACAGGATACCTTCCACCAGTCTAGAGGAGCCCTGGTGGTGTAAGGGGTTATGTGTTGGGCTGTGAACCACAAGGTCAGCAGTTTGAAGCTACCACTGCTCGGGAGCAAGAGGAGGCTTTTTACTCCTGTCACGATGGCCGTGAGTTTGAATCGTGTTACAGCCGGTCTGTCCTCAGGCTTGTGGCTAGTTTTCAAGTGATTCTGGTGATCCTGGCAACAGGACTCCAGAAACGGTTCACACTCCTGTGAATTCATCACGGGACCATCCATAGTAGCTCCGACTTAGAGAGTAAACCGTGCCCTGCTAGTCATCACCCAGACACAGACATGCAAAACCAGCTGGAAGTTCACAGGCAAGAATGTTTCTTCCAAGGATATACAGAAGTTTAGTGTCCTAACAACCCCCTCTTCTGTGAGTGATGACCTTTCCCTCACTAAGAAACTAAACCATAGGCTTCAGGAAGGTTACTGTTGGAGATTCCATCAGTAAGAATGAAGCATCACACTTATATTTTTGTATTGTTGAGAACATATCAAAAACTTACACCAGACCAACAGCTTCTCCATGTACGATTCAGTGACATTGATTACATTCTTCAAGTTAGACAGCCATTCTCCTCATTCTGAATTGTGCACCTGTAGTATGAGGTGGGGGGAGCAAGCCCCCACCGCTAGCCACAGGTTCAGCAAGCACAATTGTATGGTTGATATATATATATATATCAAGTAATATATATATTACAGTCATCGAGAACATGAGCGATAGAAGAGAATCAAACAATGGAGTCAGACACATTTTATGGTAGCATTGCTCACCTCAGCCCCGCTTGGTGGTCCACGTGGAGAGACGGGTAAGGGAAGGAGGACAAGGGAGCAAGGAGAAGAGAGGAGAGTGGGAAGAGGGGAGAGCTCTATTGATAACCCAGGCCTATATGCCTTTTGGGGGCATGCAAGCCCACTAATTACAGGTAAAGACACGTCACAGGAAGGGGTTGCACTATAGGTTATACAGCAATGAGAGGGGGTGGTCTAGGGACATAGATACAATAGGAAGAGGAGGGATTGAGGGTATACATGTGACAAGATGGGTGGATCCTATACAGGATGGCAGCCTAACATTGGATGTCACAGAGCCAGGTTGACCAGTTCCCTGTCTCAACTGATAGAGACCATTATCGGTAGGGTATGAACTCCACCTACAGGAACCAAACTAATGGTTGCAAGCTTCAGGGAGAAATAGTCCATTGTCCCCAGCAGCAGAGAGCAGGCCCACCCCTGTGAGACAGCAGTCTGGAAGCAATTGCCTTCAGGGACCATCTGACCTCCCCTTACATGCCCTCCCTCCATCAAAAACCTCCCTGCCCTCCCAAATTCCTCTCTACTCGTTTGAGGGAAGTGTTACACTTCTGTTTGAGAGGGCCTCAGTCACGGGGACATAGAGATGCAGCCTTGATAGCCAATCTAGGTATAGTACTTCCAATAAAGGGTTTCGAACAACATTCTGCATTTGTCTTGGAAATTTCTGCCCTGGATCCACTTCACAACGAAGACCTGATGTTGACCCCTTGTTTGTACAGCCTTGTATGCCTTTGCCAGTGTTGAGGCTATCAACATTTATTTCTATTTTACCAACCCCCCCGTACTTTGCCCAAACCCCACAACTGTCCTCCCCATGGGTGAGATACTCACTGTCCTCTGATGTGCGGTCCTTGTCACAGTGAGTGAATAGGCCTGAATTTGTTGGCCAACAACTTTGCCCCTGGTGAGTTTAGGCTGGTTGGATATGGACAGTCTCGAACTTTATGATTATAAATGCCATAATGTGCTCTTTGCTTTTCAGAGTACCGTGTATTTTAAACTATACATAGAAGCTATTTTGAATCAGTATCATATACAGATGACTAATAAGCCCATGAAAAGTTGCTCACATTTTTGCCTGTTAGAGAAATGCAAACCAAGACCGCAATGTGATACCATTTCACAACCAGTAGGATGACGGGGCTGTTACCAAGTTAGGAAGCCTTGGTGAGAATGATGCCGCTATTTTGGAAACAATCAGTCTCTCAAAAGTTTAAATAGCATTAGCATGTGTCCCAGCAATTTCATTCTTAGGCATATACCCAAGAAAAATCGAAACGTGCACACCAAAATTTGTATATTTTTCATAGCATTATAATTGCCTAAAATAATGTAGTATGGTGACAGGCAAGCATGTATTATGCCATATTTTTATTGTATCAAATATATTGGAAACCATTTTAACCTAAAAGGTAAACACTACACAACGGCTGATGTGAACAGCGTCGAACGTGAGTCCAATCGAAGAACGTGAAGACATTGCCCTCTGATGGAAATCGATGCCCGATCGAACCCTGGAAAGAAAATAGCCGGGTGACGTCAGGGTGAGAAGGTGACCGGTTGGAATGACTAGGGGGGAAACCCTGGTGGTTCGCATCTGCAAAGAACAGGAGGCGAATGTTGGGCCCATCACTATGGAGCATAAAGAAAAAAAAGGAGAAACTAAGAAAAAATAACCCAAAAATGAACCATTCACTGCCGGGGCGTCGTTTGCAGCAACAGAACATTCTGGACCTGCTCAAGAGTTGGGGAGCTATTTGAAAGCAGTCTCAGGTCTCCCGACTCAAGGAGTTCGCGTAGAAACTCCTAGGAACTAGCCTCTAGTTCTCAACCTGCCTCATGCCGCGACCCCTTCATACAGTTCCTCCCCCAACCATCAAATTATTTCCGTTGCTACTTCACCACTGTCATTTTGCTACTGTGATGAATCGGGCGACCCCGGTGAACGGGTCCTTCGACCCCCAGGTTGAGAACCGCGGCTCTAGACCCTGGTGGAAAACCCCATCTGGGTCTCCTCCACGCAACCGGGCGGGAGGCGCGCGGGGTGCACCCGCGAAGACTGTCCGGGTCAGGGAGGAAGTAGTGCTCCGCGGCGGCGGAACCGACTCTGTGGGCGGCGGGGACGTGTTTCTGCGACGGACCTGCGGGCGGAAGTGCGGTGCGCCGGTTCGTGTCCCGGCTCCGGGTCGCCGCGGGTCGCGGCGTGGGCTACGGTGCTCCAGCAGTCGGCCGTGAGCCTGAGCCCCGGGGTGTCGGGGGCCGACCGAGGCGGCCGTGGGCCTTGGGTCTGCAGACAGGACGGGCTGACCTTGGCCACTGGTAGTGGCGGGTTACAGCCGATGGCGGTCTGGGCTGCCGCCTGTCTGAGCAGGGCCGCTGGCCGCTGCCTGCGGGCACCGGGGCCCGGGGTCCGGGTCGCTGGTTCGCGTGTTCCCCGGCCCTCCCAGCCCGAGCCCCCGGGTATTTGCCTCTCTCCGGGCAGGACGCTGCACGTCTCGGCGGCTGTCCTCGCTGGGCATAACAAGTGGTCCAAAGTCCGGCATATCAAGGGTCCCAAAGACACCGAAAGGAGTCGCATCTTCACCAAGCTCTCTCTGAGTATCCGCCTGGCTGTCAAAGGTGAGGGCCCTGGGCCTGATGGTCACCCACCTTAAGGGATGGCTTGCTTCCCCAGAGCGTGTTCAGGGCTGGCGCACCCTTTCCCCCAAACCAAACCCATTGGGATCGAGCCCATTCTGTCCCATAGTAACCCCTTAAGACAGTAGCACTGCTCCCTAGGACCTCCGAGGCTGTCAATCCCTATGGCGCCCGACTGCTTCAGTCTCTCTCCAGAGTGCCTGCTGGGTTTGACCTTGTCCTTGATAAGCAGCTGAGGGCTTTAACCACTACGATTCTAGGGCTCCTCACTGTCTCTCACCAAACCCATTCCTGTCCAGTATCTGCCGTCTCCTGGCGACCGCCAAAGGGCCCAGTAGACCTGCCCTGAGGCTTTCAGAGATTGCTTATGTCTGTACAAAAGCAGAATGGCCAGTGGGTTTGAACCTGGGAGCTTGAGGTTAGCAGCCCAAAATGGAACCCACGATACCACCAGGACTACTCCTCACCCCTTTCCTCAGACAGGCTCCGATTTCCTTACCCCAATGCCCACTGCAGCCCTCCTTCATAATGCCTCAGAACCGTCGCCTACAATGGCAATTCTCGGTCACCTTTTCAGACCAACCTTTGGCCAGCTTTCAGGAAGGGAGCTGGTCTTAGGAAGATAAGGTAAATGTGACTTCATCCTAGGCTGTAGCTAGATGCTTCACAGAAACAAATCCTACAAGGTAGGTCAGCTGTGTGCCCCTCTTGAGGAAGTGAGCCAAGTTCTCTGCAGCCAATGGTGGGCTGGAGGCATGGACTACAGTTAGGGCTTGCCTGGGGTTGGTTTTCTGAGGGTTTCCTGGGACACATATCCTCAGAAGAGACGTCTGACCCCATGTGCAGCCATCCTCGGAAAGGGTTTTCGTTTACTTGTTTTACATTTGGTGCCAGACACCTGGAGGGGTGGAGAAGAGCCCCTGCCACACACACGGACTTTAGAGGGAGGAGCACTTGGTTTCTGTCACGAACTGACCTTGAGAAATGTCCTTGAGAATGAGCATAACGCCACTGAGTTTTAGGTATCCTTTCCTATAAACCAGGACAATGCTCACCTTGAGGTAGTATCAGGAACATAGTAAGCATTCATTAAATGCTCATTCACACACATACAAATTCATGTCTAATATTTTACTTTGCTTTCTTTAAACTCTTGATACCGAGTCTGAACAGCAGTGTGTGTGTGTGTGTGTGTGGTGGTGTAGGTTACTTGCTGGGCTGCTAATTGCAGAGGTCAGCAGTTTGAAGTCACCAATTGCTCCAAGGGAGAAAGATGAGGCTTCTGCTCCAGTAACTCTTTACCAGCTATGGACCCCAAAGGGAGCAGTTCTATTGTGTTCTGTAGGATTGCTGTGAGTCAGAATCGACTTGCTGGCAGTAGATCTTTGAGTATTGTGTGTTTCTTCTGTGCCAGGCCCTAGAAACACAAGGATAATGACCTATAGTCCCTACCTCAGAGAGAGTGAGTATGATTAGAAGGTCCTGCGAGCATCTCAGTAAGAATACAGGAAGTTGTAGAATCAGAGTTGGGGTTTTTAACAAGTCAAGGAGACGTTAGGACCTTCTACATCCCTTCCCGTTTTCCCTGGCAATAGAGTGACCTCACAGAACGAGACCTCTTTAAAGGCAGAATGAATTCAAGCTTCTTTTCGAAAGCACTATCCTACTCAAACCCTGGAATTGTTCTTAACCAACTGGATGTAAATGTAGTGGTGACCTGCCACTCTTTTGACTGATGGAATAAGGAAAACCAAAAAGCCAATTCATTGCCACGAGTAAACTCCAGCTCACAGTGACCCTAAAGCACCAAGTGGAACTGTCCCCGAGGGTTTCTAAGGCTGTGCTTTCTACTTTCTCCCACAGAGTGATTGCTGGGCTCCAACTCCTTTTCAGTTAGCAGCCAAGCGCTTAACTATTGCACTGCCAGAGTAGTGGGAGCAGGGATTGGTTAGGGAAGGCAATCGCAAATCCCTTTTTCTGTCCATGCTGTAACAAGATGCTTTCACTCATTCCTTTCTCTTTCAGAGGGCGGTGCCAACCCTGAGCTCAACAGCAACCTGGCCCACATCTTAGAGCTGTGTCGCAGCAAGCACATGCCCAAGGCCACGATCGAGGCAGCCATGAAAATGGAGGTGTGTCCGTAGTTGGGTCCATGTCTGGAAGGCTGCCACGCATGCCTCAAATGATCAGAGTTGGGTAGCAGTGAGGGTGGCACCCTCAACCCAGAGACGCTGTGTCTTTGAGCCTTGGTTGCAGGAGCACAGTCAGGAATAAGGTGGACAGGCAGTGCCCAGAGACTCAGCCCATTGGTGAGGAGATGGGGAAGACAGGGGCACCAGATGGGGAAAGGCCTGAACCTGGGTTGCGGAAGGGTTTGTGTAGGCCCTGGAGGAGAAAATCCAGTAGAAAAGGTAAGGGTGCCAGTGGTAGTGATGGTAGGAAGGACCAGGATGTAGAGTCCAAGTGTGGGAATTGTCTGCAAACACAGGTGAGAGGACACCGCTTTTTCTGGGACTAGTAGTTAGAATCTGAGAAAGTAATCATCTTAACAGCGCATGGTGACTTACTGTGGGCCAATCATTTTGGTAAGAACCCTTTCTACAGCATCGTGAATCTGTAGAACAATTTTGACCGGAAACTGAAGGACAGCAAAGTTAGGTGACTTGTCCAGGGTCACAGAGAAAACGTTAGACTCACAGCCAGACAGATTCCAGAGACTTGGCTCTAATGTCCCTGTGCACATAAAGGTGGTGGAGACTGACCAAGGCTGTCCCTTGCCTTGTGGCCTTTTAGCTGCTTGTGAATGAGGAAAAGAGGCTTCATCAATCAAGCATACTTGGGAAGTCAGGGCAGGGCGCTTGGAGGGTGTAGTGAAGATCCAGATGATGGACTTGCCATGAGGAGAAGGTACAAAGGGTCCAGATGGGATTGGTCACCAATGTTTGTGATTGTTCATTGAGACCAGGCTACTTTCAGAGGCGCTCAGGACAAGGCCCAGTGGATGGGTATTCTCAAGTCAGCAGCCCAGGGTAGGAGCCCAGCAAGTAGACTCTACCTGGTAGAGGAACAGACAGAGAGAGAGCTGAGACGTTATGGACACTTAGGTCTCCTGCAGGAGGAGGCATCAGAGGGGAAGTCCTGCTGGGGCAACTGAGACACAGATGTGAGATTCGGCTGGTAGGCGAGAAAGCAAAGCTAGTACACTGATTTGGTTGTTCAGGGACCAAGGAAACAGATTTGTTTCCAAATAGGGGGTTATACTTCCAGTGACCTCAAAATTTACTCTCAAAGGCCACTTCTCAAAGGGTGGTGACCAAAACAGACTTGAGGGCCCAGGCATGAGCTCAGCCCAATAGCCCACTGGGGAGTGGTACATGTCATGGTACTGACATCCGAGGGGGGGGAGGGTGGTCCGGAAACAGGGGAATGCCCTCCTGTTGTCTGTTGCAGAAAACCAAGGACATTTATTTGCTGTACGAAGGTCGAGGTCCCGGGGGCTCTTCCCTGCTCATCGAAGCGCTGTCTAACAGTAGCTCCAAGTGCCTTTCGGACATCAGACATATCCTGAACAAGAATGGGTAGGTGTCGGGAGGGCTGGTGGAAAGGTTGCCACCTCTAGGTTCCAGTTCTGTGCAAAGAAAGTGCTATTGCTTTCTGGTTGCATTTCAAATGTTCAGACACATATTCCTTAAATTCACCGTCATCGCGTAAATTCCAACTGATAGTGGCCCAGTAGGACAGGGTAGGATACCCCTGTGGTTTTCTGAAACGATCATCTTTTAATGGGAGTAGAAAGCCTCATCTTTCTCCCTCAGAGCAGCTCCTGGCTTCGAACTGCTGACCTTGCAGTTAGCAGCCCATTGCATAAGCACTACACCACCCAGGCTCCTCCCTCTAATCCTTAGCAGAGTGCAAATGGCATCATTTAAGTTCTCTTAACGAGTTCTGTACTAGGCGGATCCAAAAGACACATGGAGCAGATGTAGAAGGGGATCTTGGTTCTAGTGCCCACACTCCACACACATTCCCCGAGCACACTGGGTCTGGCCTGCTCCCCGGAAGCCAGTGGGAGCCAGGTCTTAACGATAAACCTCCAGGACTGGCGCCTCAATGCACAAGGGGCGCATGAGTGAAGTCTTCACATATTCCAAACTCCAGCTGGGGCAGGAGATGGAAGATGGCCGTGTTCGTGGACTAGAGGATGACTGCGTCCTCGTCCCCTCCAGGAAGAGAGCCACCCCATCTCTGCCTCCCTTAGGCCAGGTGCGACGGAGCCAGGGTTAGGAGGCTGTGCGTGGTGGCAGAGGGGCGGCTAAAGCCCTGTTTCCTTTCCGTCATTTTCCAGAGGCATGATGGCGGAAGGAGCCCGGCACGCCTTTGACAAAAAGGGCGTGGTGGCGGTTGGCGGAGAGGACCGAGCGAAGAACGCCCTGAATCTGGAGCGCGCACTGGAACTGGCCGTCGAGGCCGGCGCCGAGGATGTTCTGGAAACTGAAGACGAGGAGGAAAAGAATGTTTTCAAGGTGGGTCTGTGTTTGGCCAGGCACGGGAGGGCCGGCGCTCGTGGTTCCTGCACGCCGCAGTTTCCTGCGCGCACTGGGTGCGGCGGCCGACCCCACGGAGAACAGGGAGAACCAGGCCCTGCCAGCTGTGACCCATGCCAGTCGTGGCGTGCGGGCCTTGTCTCCTCACCCCCTTCGTTGCCTTCCTCCCCAGTTTATTTGCGACATCTCCGAACTGCATCAGGTGAGGAAGAAGCTGGACTCTCTGGGCCTGTGCTCGGTGTCCTGCGCGCGGGAGTTCATCCCCAACACCACGGTGCAGCTGGCGGAGCGGGACCTGGAGCAGGCCTCCCAGCTCATCCAGGCGCTGGGCCTCCACGAGGACGTGATCCAGGTCTACGACAACATTGAGTAGCCTCACTCCGAGACGGGCCGTGCGGGTTAGGAGGTGCAAGACCAGGACCCTTCACCCCTCTGTGGGGCCTCCCTGTGAGGTCTGCTGCCCACTGGGTCCTCCTGGGTGAGCCTTCCTGTCCGCATGCAGGGTAGGGGCCCAGTCAGGCTCAGATGGCAGGAAAGTGACCACTGCAGGGATGGAATTGGAGGTGCCCGCGCACTAGAATCTGCCAGAAATAGTAATAGTGACCGCATTGCTAGTGTGTGGCGCTTTGTGAGTTCTCCCAATGTGGTGGTTTTTTGTGTCCAGCTGTTGGGACCCTCGTGACTTCCTTTCAAGTTTATAGGCGTGATTCCAGTATTTCAGTTCTTGGACTGTTTTTGATCGGCCATCAAGATGTAGCTCTCTTCAGGCGCTCCATGGGGCAAGGCTGCTCTGATGGCCTGCGCCTGCCCTTCATGCACGCGCTAACCCTTAGGAAACCGTAATTACCTGGTGAGCCTGCCCCAAGACACACGGCCCAGAGGAAGGAAAGAGCCAGGACTGCTCTGGCCAGGGCTGTCACCAGGAGGGCAGGGTCAGCGTCCCTATTTCCTTTGTGACCACTGTGCCCTTCTTCCCCAGAGAGCTTCCTGCTCCAGCCCAGCAGGAAGGCAAGTGCCAATGACGAGGAGCTGGGAGCCCGTGGGCTCGGAGACAGGACAGTAGATTGGACTGTTCCGGGAAGGGCGATGCCAGACTGGGCTCAAGTGATCCTGGGCCCCAGAATGCCCGACCCTAGTTCCTATTCATCCGGTCCAGATGGTGGGCACTGGGACTAGAGAGGATGCGAGCACAGGAGGACTGAGGGACTGAGTCTCGAGGCTGATGAGGAGGGAAATGGGCCCCTGGGTGGCTTTTGCTCGCAGTCATCACTTCTAGCCTGAGGGAGGCCAGAAACGCCTAACTGTGTGGGAGCCTGTCTGTCAGGCTGCAAGCTGCAGGCTTTTTGGCCCCATTAGCTCTCCTACAGGCACATGGTGTGTACTGTGCTTGAAAGATACTGCATTTTTTACAAATTGAAAGTTTATCACAAACTTTCTTCAAGCACAAGCTCACTTCTATCTCAGAGTTACATTTTGGTCCTTCTCAGGATATTTCAAACTTTTTCATAATGCTAGTGCATACTTCACAGACTACTGAAATCTCGTAATGGTCTCTAATGTACTTCTTTGGAGTCTAATGTCCATTGCAATGGCTACACGGAAACTCACAGAATTTATGATTAAAGGGTTTATTAAAGAGGTTAAATTGTAATGCCAGTGAGAAATGCTCAGGGTTGTTTATCAGGACATGTTGCAACATCTCAGATCTGCTAATAAATGCCCAATGGGGCTTACTACTCTGCTGTAAGCTGCAACCCAAAGGCATTCAGCTCAGGCTCCGGGGGTCAGAGGCACTCCACTCCGAAAGCCAGCCTCCTACACCAGTGCTCTCATCTTAACTTGCTTCGTGGGTTGGGGAGTCCATCACTGTTCTATGCTCTGGCTGCTGGTGCTGCTGCTGCCCCTCTGATGTTGAAGCTGTGGCTGTCATCTGGACCCAGGTGGTTCACTGCACAGGGATTTCGGGTCCACAAGATGTGCTCCATTCCTGGCTCTTGCTGCTAATGAGATTCCCTCCTCCTGCTTCTGGGAATCCTATTAGCAATTACTCAGGTGAATTCTATCAGTATCTTTCCCCACCTCTTTATCAGACCCAGGCAGGACAAGGTCGTTTGGTGGGCGTTAAGAGACTGGCGAGAAGAGTCGCATTAAGTAATTCACTGCCCCTGAAACCATCAAAGCCCCAAATCCCACTACTGTCAAGGTGAGTCTGACTCATAGTGATGCTACAGGACCAAATAGAACTGCTTCCCAGGGTCTCTGGGGCTGTAAGTCTTTTTTTTTTTTTTAAATCATTTTATTAGGGGCTCATACAACTCTTATCACAATCCATACATACATCAATTGTGTAAAACGCATTTGCACATTCATTGCCCTCATCATTCTCAAAACATTTCCTCTCCACTTAAGCCCCTGGCATTAGGTCCTCATTTTTCGCCTCACTCCCCGCTCACCCCTCCCTCATGAGCCCTTGATAATTTATAAATTGTTATTTTGTCAAATCTTGCCCTGTCCAACATCTCCCTTCACCCACTTTTCGGTTGTCCGTCCCCCAGGGAGGAGGTCACATATAGTTCCTTGTAATTGGTTCCCTCTTTCCTACCCACTCTCCCTCGGGACTGTAAGTCTTTATAGAAGCATACTGCCTTATCTTAATCCCACAAAGCTGCTGGTGGTTTTGAACTGCCAACCTTCTGGTTGGCTGTCCACTCTGTCGCCAGGGCTCCTTAATACATTGCAGTAGACTGTAAATATAACTTCTATTGCCCTGGAACACAAAAGAGCAAACAAACAAAAAAGGCAGGTAGCTTGCTTGTTGTGCCATTGCGGTGGCCTGGATGGAACTCACAGTATGGACAGGTCCGACTGTACTGATAAACTGTGGAGACGTTTCTGAGCTCAGTCATTTCCTGTGAAGGAGCAGCTGGTAGGTGAGGGTGGAAAAGTACTGAAACAGCCAACAAATTCCATGGTGACTTCAGCTGGCGAGCAAGAATGCCGGTGAAACCAGCAGCGGGACGATCCATGACTCTGCCTTGCAGCCCTGTGCCTCATTCCACATGCATCGCACTACCTGGGATTCATTCCACATGCATCGCACTACCTGGGATTCATTCCACATGCATCGCACTACCTGGGATTCCTGGGTTTGGTGGGCGAGGATTCCTCCGCATAGCTCAACTTACACACACTCGCAGGCTTCCACTGTCGCACGTTTTCAACATCACAAACCTCCAAACCCCACTGCCATCAAGTCGATTGCGACTCATCGTGACCCTATCGGGCAGGGCAGAACTGCCCCTGTGGGTTTCCGAGACTGTGAATCTTTTTTTTTGCATGTTAGGCTGTGTTTACTAGAGAAACAAATCCAGTGACATTCAGATATGTTCAAGAGAGAGCTGTACATGAAGAAGTAATTATATACCAAGCAAACATCCCAGCCCAGTCAAGATCAATCAAGTCCATAAATTCGATTTCGTCCATCAGCCCCTCTTCAGACTCACGCAGCCACATGCAGTGATGCAGAACGCAGGAAGATCACCGGCTGGTGGGTGCAAAGTCAGGTGGATCCAATGGCGGTGGTTGCATCACAGGGCTCATAGCAACGAGGGTCAGCCAGCAAGAAGATGAAGGCAGAGAGGGGGTAGGGGGAGGTTCCTAAGATCCTCATGCGAAGCAGGAGGCCCACAAGGAGGCACCATTGGGCTGTGACTTGATTGACAGGTTGAACTCTACTCCTCCACTTCCGCATATCTTCAAATTGACATGAAACAATGTAACTTCCACAGATGGAAACAAAAATGAAAGAAAAATAGATAGAAAATATGGTTGGAGATTACATGATAGAATTTTGCAAGACAAATGACTTCTTCATTTCAAAGACCTCTTTTAAGCAACACAAGATCGGACTATACACATGGATTTCTCAAGACGAAATATACAGAAATCAAATCGACCACTTCTCTGGGAAGATGTAAAGGTCTCTATTAGAAGCAAATGCCTTCCAGGAAGCACATCTCAAAGTATAGAGTATAAACCCCAAGGTTTAAGTTACAAATGGTTGCTTGTGCCAATAAGCTTTGACTGTATTCGTGTTTTCATTAGGATTAACATTATACTCTTTTGTTTTCTTGCATCAAAGTTGTTTTTTTTATTAAACATTTTATTAGGGGCTCATACTACTGTTATCGCAATCCATACATACATCAATTGTGTAAAGCGCATTTGTACATCATTCTCAAAACATTTTCTCTCCACTTAAACCCCCGACATTAGGTCCTCATTTTTCCCCTCCTCCCCGCTCCCTCCCCGCTCCCTCCCTCCCTCATGAGCCCTTGATAGTTTATAAATTGGTATTTTGTCATATCATGCCCTGTCCGACGTCTCCCTTCACCCACTTTTCGGCCACCGAGACTGTGAATCTTTATGGGAGTAGCAAACCTGCTCTTTCTCCTACTAAGCGGCTACTGGGGTTGGAACTGCTGACCTTGTGGTTTGCAGCCCAAGTAACTCCCTGTGCCATTCCAGGCTCCTTGCTAACATAGGCCCCTTGACATTTATATACTGCTTCCTAACTTCGAAGGTACTTTGGGGTGTTATTTATTAATTTCACCACAAACCTATAAAATAGGCCACGGTTGTTCTGCACAAATAATCTCATTCCAAGCAGGCCAGGGCAGTTCTCACACTGTACCGTATACCGGTAAGCTTTGCTTTCTAAAACAGCTGCTTTAAAAGTGTCGAATGTAAATTAATTTGAAGCAACCCGATGCTTTGACCTGCTCAGGAAGAGACTGCTCCTCTGTGGTGTAGTTCCGGGGCTTGGGCCCCGGCCCCAACAGTAAGTAGCAGGGCTGAGTCCCACCGGTGCCTGGAAGAAAGGCCTGTTGCTCTGCTTTCAAAAGCCCACATCCCTGAAACCATTCCACTCACACACTCGGGGTCGCTATGAGCCGAAATCCACTCCAGCGTCTGCTTTAATTGAAGTGGGATTTGTTCATCTGGACGGCCCTGTAACCAGTCCTTCACAGCAAGACAGGCTTGCTGTACTGCCTAGGTGGACTCTCGTGAGATGGCTCTGCGCTGCCCCCTGGGGGTGGTCTGGAGTCTTACTTGCAATTCATATGGGAAGGTGGAATTAAAACCTTATCCGCACCTGTTGTGTTGCCTCTCATCTGGTAAGGAGAGCCTTAGCTCCGGAGATCAAAGGAATGGTCACTTCCACAGGGCTGGGGTAGTATGCTGCCACTAGAAACAATTTGCCATTATATATGACAGGTCTGTGCAAGGGGCCCTGGTGGGACGATGGGTGAGCACTCCTCCTAGCGGAGAGTTTAGCTTGAACCCCTAGCAGCTTCAAGGGAGAAAAGACCTGAGCGCCTGCTCCTACGGCCATTTCAGCCTAAGAAACGTACAGGACAATCCATTCGCCCTACAAGCCAATTGCTATGATTCTGAATCAGCCCAATGATGTCCAACAGCCTGCAAGAACCCTAGGCCTGCTAATTTTCATAAGAGCTGCTGCCTTGACACTGATTTTCTTACAGGTAGCTACAACAGAGCAGGGCAAGTGCTTTCATGAGGAAGGTACAAGGTGCTCGGGACACATCAGGGGCCCGGAGTGCTCCCTCTGGGAAGGATGTTCAAACTTGGCTGTTCCTTGGACGATTAGGCCACGGGGCTAAAATGGAAGGAAGAGAGTCCAAACGGGAAATGGCACATGTGGGTGCATAGGGAGGCCCAATTGAACTGCCTTAGTTCAGAGGGACGAGTGTGGAGTGTGAGTGATGGGGTCGGTCGAGGTAGCAATTGGAGACTTGGGGCTGGAGAAGAAGTGGACTGGGTCCTGACGGGCTGCCCTAGCCCCATTCTCACACATTAACACGGGTCTGGCAGGAAAGCATTCCATGGAGTGAGGCGATCTGATTGAGGACATGGTCCAGATGGGCTGTGGAGGGAGATCAGTGGAGAAGAAATGCTCTCGGATAACTCAGGGGATGTGGCAGGCAACTGTGGAGGGAGAGGGAGGCTGGAACTAGAGCGGAAAATGGTGAGTCATGAGTGTGGGTTTGGACGTACAGACCATGAAGTGCCTGTGAGCTACTATCCCACCAGGTGATGTCTCTGGAACGCAGAAGACCTGAAAGAGACGGAGTTCAGATCTAGAGTCCTCAGCACCTAGCAGTAACTGAAAGCCGACTAAGTGATAAGGCCTACAGGGAAGGCAGTGGCTAGACAGGGAGAAGGAAAATCAGAAGACTTCAGCTACTGACGACATGGTTATATTGCAGTTCCGGAACAAGTCCTACTCCATGCAAGGCATTGTTCTCAGTGCTAATGATAGGACATTCCTGCACCTGGTAGTTACACATTGGACTGCTAACCACAGGACAACAGTTCCAACTGAACCGACCAGCTGTTCCTAGGGAACTAGGAGTTTCTCTGCTCCTGTAAAGATGGGCAGCCTAGGAAACCCATAGGGGCAGTCCTCCTCTGTCCTATAGGGTCGCTATGAGTTGGGATGGACCCAGTGGCAGCGAGTGAAGTGTACCTATGTCATTTAAGGCCACTCTAACTGGGGCAAAGATAAGTAAACATACACCATTTTAAGTACTGTGCAGGAAAACAATGCAGACTACAG